GCCCAAACAAAGCCATGTGAGACCCTCCCTGAAAAAATCCTCTAAAATAAGCACTGAGTTAATTTTGTGTTGACCATCTACTGCTGGGCATGAAGTTTGCCCTCAAGTATGTTTCATATACTCAGTGAGACTCCACTGGAGAAAACTGATGTTTCCTTCACAAGTGGTTGTTCAGTGGAGATAGCTTCTTGGTTAGGAATGAATGCTTACATACATACTTTTTTTCATTTCAGAACTTATATAAATGATATCATATATACCTATTCTTCTATGACTGTCATCTTTAATTTGTTATGCTTTTGGTGTGCATCAAGAATCTGTTCATATTGATAGCTAAAAAGGTATTCCATACTATAAATATTCCTCAATAAAAAAAATCTATTCTTCTAATTGTAGCTTGAAGACAATTTCCAAATTGGAGAGATTATGAATAAACCAGTTGTTATTTTTTAATTGATATTTTAGTTATTCTTTGAGACTCTCGGGCATATATACAACATACTTTGATTTTCTTTTCCCTCTTCCCTCTTTGAATTCCTCTCAGGATCCCCCGAAACTTCTATTCCTAATGTCATGTCCTTATTTGTTTTTATAAATATCCCACTGAGTTCAGTTAGTGTTGCCTGTATGCACATAGGTGTGCAACTGTCCACTGGAACGTGGACACTTTCCCAGTGGCCACACCCTAAAGATGAAGAATTTTCCCTCCCCTAGCAGCCATCAACTGTCTGCAGTTCCTCAATGGATGGGGCTCCCACGGCATGCTAGTTGGATTGGTTTGGTCCTGTGCAGGTCTTGTGCAGGTAAACATAGCTATTGTGCATTCTTGACTGCCATAGTTATGTAGCTAGAGTTTTCCTGCCTGGCCCACAGTCAGGACAAATCTCTGTCACCCGCCAGTCCCACAGCCGCTCAGACCCAACCAAGTAAACACAGAGACTTATATTGCTTACAAACTGTATGGCTGTGGCAGGCTTCTTGCTAACTGTTCTTATATCTTAAATTAATCCATTTCCATAAATCTATACCTTGCCACGCAGCTCGTGGCTTACTGGCATCTTCACATGCTGCTTGTCATGGTGGCGACCGGCAGTGTCTCCCTCCGCCTTCCTGTTCTCTCAATTCTCCTCTCTGTTAGTCCTGCCTATACTTCCTGCCTGGCTACTGGCCAATCAGTGTTTTATTTATTGACCAATCACAGCAACACATTTGACATACAGACCATCCCACAGCACAGCTATGTCCTGACCAGAAGACAGCATTAGACAGCTGTCATCCTCGTCCCCTGCTATTTGTACCTTCTCTCCAACCCCTCTTCCACAATGTCCCTTGAGCCTTCTGGGGATGACTGAGTTGAGATAGATGTCTTATTTAGTGCTGAGCACTCAGTCCTTTATTCTCAGCATGCTGACCACTTATGAATCTCTGCATTAGCTGCTGCCCACTACAAAATGAAGCGTTTCTGACCAAGACTGAGAGTTGGATAGGTCTATCAGAACAAACATTAAATATTTAGAAGGCAGTTGGTGTGAACATTTAGCAAAATAATAATAGCTTCACCACTAATCATATTCATATAAAATTTTTTTGTGTTTATGTACTTTCTTTTGGGAAAATGACTAAGGGTACAATTGTTGGCTCATACTGTAGAAATATGATTCATTCTCTCTCTCTCTCTCTCTCTCTCTCTCTCTCACACACACACACACACAAACCAATAAGAAGTATAGTAGAACATTATTTTAAGGTGTGTTACTTTTGTTTATGTTGCATTGGTTTAACTCTGTGAAGCTGTGTTACTGTGCTTGTCTAAAACACCTGATGGTCTAATAAAGATCTGAACAGCTAATAGTTAGGCAGGAGAAAGGATAGGCAGGGCTGGCACGCAGAGAGAATATATAGAAGGAGAAATCTGGGAGGAGGAAGGAACGGGCGAGAAGGAGGAGGACTCCGGGTGCTAGCCACCCAGCTACACAACCAGCAGCAGAGTAACAAGAAAGACATACAGGAAAAGGAAGAGCCCAGAGGCAAAAGACAGATGGGATAATTAAAGATAAGAAAAGCCGGCAAGAAAAAAGCTAAGCTAAGGCCAGACATTTGTTAGTAATAAATAAACCTCTGTGTGTGATTTATTTGGGAGCTGAGTGGTAAGCCCCTAAAAGAGTTAAAACAAACAACAACAAAGAAGTTTTCCAAAGTACTTGCACTAAGTCCTCTTCTCACTAGCAGTGTGTGAAGATCTTGGGTCATAAGCACATGTCAACATTTAGTGTTATTGGTCATTTTATTTTTAGTCACTCTAGTTTTAGCTGGTATAGACCTGGTATTGTTCTTACAACTTTACTTTACATTTTTCTCATGACCAGTGGGCTTATAAGCCTACTAGCCAACCCAATTCTTTTTTTGGTACATTGCCTTTCAGATTGTTAATGGCAGGATAATCTAGTCAATTGACCAATGTTTTAAAGCTCTTGTTCTCATTTAAAAGGAAGAATATGGGCACTTAGTGTTTTATGTAAGATACAGAGAGTCAATTGTTTTGTAATAGATACTATTACGTAGAAAGGACCCAGTAATTGCCTTTAAAGTGTCAGTTAGGATAAAATTAGAAGGGAGAGAGGGTCAAGAGACATTAATATGGCAAAAAAAGTTGGACATTTTTCAGCTAGGAGAAACACTGTGAAGGCATGCTTGTGGAAAGTCTGACTCCGTGTCATTGTGGGGGGGTCTGTCAGGGCTAAAGGTGGCAGGGCTTCCTTCCATTTCAGCAGCTCTGTTGTAAACTAATGGAAGCCTTAACTACAGAGAGTGATATAGGAATAGAGAGGACAAAACAATTTAAGAACTACTAAAACTTTTCTGTAGGATTCAGTGACACTGATCATTGACATTGGAAATGAGTCAATATTGCTAAGACTTCCAGGCAGTTGGTTTCAAAATGTATCTGTGATATTTTTAAAAGTTAGGTATGGGGAAGATAAAAGTTTAGAGCAAAGCAATTAACCCATTTAGTTTTGTGCATGATCATTTAAATTTTGTTTGCCTTTGGGTGATCAACAGTTATATATCCTATCCAGCAGATAGTTTACAACTGGGGAATGGAATTTAAGAGAGAGTAAACTACATAACTGCTCCCTCTTTGTGTGTCTGTGTGGGAGGAGTTGCACATATACATGCTTGCACACACACACACACACACACACACACACACACACACACACACACACAGAGAGAGAGAGAGAGAGAGAGAGAGAGAGAGAGAGAGAGAGAGAGAGAGAGAGAGAGAGCGCAGATAAGACAAATGACCCCAGATAGGAGTCACAGCTTGAGTGTGAATGTTACAGAAGATGGGGAGCAGGATGTGAAGAAGAAAGACCACCATGCCTGCCTTCTGGTTGCTGAGAGAATAATCTCCATTAGTGAATATAACAGAACTAGAAGAGGAGGGTATTTACATGTCCCTGTACATGAAGTGTCAGGTTTCCGACTCATGTAAAAGTGGAAATGGGAACCTAGTCATGTGATTATAAGGCTGAGTCATGGAGGAATCACTGAGGATAGCACCTGGGTTCATGAGGGTAGTGATTTTCAGGAGACAGGAAGGTGTGTTGGACCCAAGGGAAGTTTACTGGTAATATCCTTTCTCTGCACCTAGCTTTTATGTAGGTTCTGGAAATCTAACTCAGGTCCTCGTGGTTGTGTGGTAAGCCCTTTACTGACTAAGCCATCTCCCAGTCCCTTGGTAAGTACTTCTTACGAATGTATCTGCACTTCTTATTAACTTTTGACCTCTGTGCACCACACAGGTGGTTATCATGATGATGGATGAAGGGAATGGAGAAGCACGGACAACCAGATATGATTGGTTGCCTTAACAACCTGTTTCATAGTTTTGTAGTTTAAATGGATTCATTCATCTGTAGATTAAAATTTTATTTTTCTTTTTAAAGGACTGACTTGCTCCCCAGTTCTAGTAATCCCAAGATGCTAAGATTTATCCTCAAAAAAGTTGTTAATCTAGGTATCTGATATCAGAACGTAACCCAACAGGAACTTGGGATCTTGGATGCAAGTTTCTTCCCCACTGGGTTTACAGAATATAATAGCAATACGATTAGCACATTTTCCCAGTGATTGAGTTGGCAAGTGCCATGGATTTATAAATAGAATTTATTGTGAAAGTCATTGTGCTACTGGGATAAGTGGTTCTCACAATCTGATGATAGAAAATGCTCTCTGAAAGGAAACTATTATATGCCTCCTATGCTGTGGCCATCCGAGGACAAAGGAGCCAACAAGGGACTTTTGTTTTCAATATATTTTACCCTATATGTCATTGTGATCAGCCAGATCTACTTGACATCTGGGAAATTAATATTTTACCAGTTTTCCATTTTAAGTGACATGGGTCAAGCAAGTTGGGTATAAATGTCCATTTCAAACCCTGCACCATGTTGCTATCTCGAGGTTGGATGATAGTGAGCTGCTGAAGAATGCCCAGACTTCTGCTGGTGTCTCCCCATGAGAGCAATAGACCCATGGAATATGAATGCCATTTAGAGTTGGGCACCAATCTGTGTTTCAGTCTGATCCTCATAATAAAATTCTGATTTACCACATGAGAATGAGACTCACAGTGCACTTCCAAAGTGACCACTGTGAGGAAGGTCATTTATGTAACTGAAGGTAGGGTTGCTGCTATCCCCACCAAAGCATCACTAATTTCTAAAGGATGGAGTTGCATGTTGTAGCTGGGGGGAATTGGTATTGATGAGATCAGTATCAATAAGGCTATGTGCTTGGTGATCCAGGCAAAACTGTAATGCAGGGAAGATGCTTTAATCTCAGTCAGAAGAGTATTTCATGTTTCCTCCACAGCCAGCGGCCATTTCCATGGTGAGCTGAGTGATCTGCCCTGTCCACACAGGGGAATGCATGATGCATAGCTGGACTGGTTTGCACAGAGTTGTCTTCACATCCCATCTCTTTCTTTTCAACAGTCTAACTCCACAGTGAGAACCTATCAAACCAGCAAGTCACGCATGACCATGAGCCCTGGCTTCAGTTCCCACTGGAGCACCAGCCAACCTGCCTGGAACACATACTCCTTCCCAAGAGCGAGCTTGCACTACCAGTCTCATGCCAGCTACACGTACTGCACTGGCCACCCTTCAGTAAGTACCCATCTCTCCGGATTCGGATGCTCGGCACAGTTATATTTTTAAGTTGGTCTTTCTGTGAAATGGGTTGTTTTCCTACAAATAGATTTCTCTTGAGTATAACATGTGGACAATGGTAATGTCTTAAGCATTTAGATGATAAATGTTTGGGTGATCTAGGGTGACAGTTGATATTTTATTCCAAGTTGCTCCTAGATGGTACAGATTACCATGGTTTTCAGAATGGTGCACTAGGGAGGTTGAATGTGTAACTATTTCTGGTTTGATTCTTCTCGCTTCCTCTTGGCTGTTGATTATGATTCTAGTTGGTCACTGTTGTGCTAGGGAAAAAAAGAGTCTTAAAATGAGAGAAAAGTTACAGGATTCTGGATGCTCCCTCTTTCCTCCATGGTCTTTAAAATATTTGTACAAATGTAAACAGACAGAACTGTTTTGCAGCTACTACTACATAGAGCTCTGGCTGTTGGTATAAGTGACTTAAAGGGCAGGGAAAACAAACCCCAGTCATGGAAAAGAAAACTCGTGGAGTCTGAGAACCTTCTGGAATAAGGCGCCTGTTTTTGCCACCATGTCTTTCATGTGTCATAATCCAACCACTGTAAACTAGGATTTCTGTGTTATTGCAAATTGCATTGTGTGTCCTTAAAAAAGACTGTGGTGAATGTCTACTGGGGTATCTCTGTGGACTGTTCAAGAGCTGAGCACAGTTCTTTGCGGGGCTCAAAGCATATTGTCTGGCTGGTCAGCCCTGGGAGATGTGGGATCCATAGCCATTTAACTATTGATGTAGACTTCCATACCTTACCACCAGTTACCACTTAATGATTACGAAGTTATAAAATATGTAGGGCTTCTAAGTTGAAGCAGTGTGTTGTAAGGACACACAAAAGAAGTCTCAGGAAATTTACTCAAACTGAGAGTTTGTATGACTTTGTTTAAAAGCAATGTGGGAATAACTGTCTAATTTAAATTGCAAGGAGCTCTTTGCTCAGTGGTTAGAGCTCTGGCATCTGTTTGGACATGTGAAAAGATATGTGCACAAGAGGATGGAGAGGCAGCTCCACTAATCAGTGCTTGTGAGGCTTACACAAAACCCTGGGTTTAGTTCCCAGCACTGCATACACAAGGCATGGTGGTGCACAGCTGTGACTGTGGTACTTGGGATGTGGTGGCAAGAGGTGATATGGTGCTCTTGTGCTGTGGATATTGATTGCTCTGTATGCTGTGAGTGTGTTGCTCTGATTTGGTTGATAAATAAAATGCTGATTGGCCAGTAGCCAGGCAGGAAGTATAGTATAGGCAGGACAAGCAGAGAGGAGAATGCTGGGAAGTGGAAGACTGAGTCAGGAGATGCTGCCAGCCGCCGCCGCCATGAGAAGTAAGATGTAAAGTACCGGTAAGCCACGAGCTGTGTGGCAACTTATTAGATGACTAGAAATGGGTTAATTTAAGATATAAGAACTAGATAGCAAGAAGCCTGCCATGGCCATATAGTTTATAAGTAATACAAGTCTCTGTGTGTTTAATTGGGTCTGAGTGGCTATGGGGCCCAGCAGGACTAGAGAAATCTCCAGCTACAGTCATCCTCAAATATAAGTAAATATATGAATGAATGAATTATTTAACAAATAAATAAGAATACACTCATGAGGATAGTTTTAGGTATTTTTAAATAGTTTGTAAGAAGATCTTTAATAACTATTATTCTTTCATCAAAATTAGCATTATTATTCATTTATAATTATTCACTATTATTATGTTCATCCTTTCTAAAGAAGGGGGAAACTAGTGTTTACACACACACACACACACACACACACACACACACACACACACACTATAAATTAAGGTTAAAAAGAAGCAAATGAACAAGAAAATATTTGGCAGTGGTGAATCTAATGCAGAGACTCACTCTGGGTTGATGTGTTGGCAAATGATAGTGGGTGCCACTTTGAGATTAGGTGGGCAGTTAAGTCGTTTTCCAGACTCCAGATGAGTGACAAGGACAAGTGTCTGTGCTAAGTTCAGGAGAAAGTGAAACCCAAGCAAGAAGCAGTTCACATGAAAAAACCTGGAGAGAGGAGAACAGAAGGAAGAGGGCAGCCACAGTGTCTTAGTTGGGGTTACTGTTGCTGTGGTGAGACACCATAACCAAAAGCAAGTTGGGAAGGAAAGGGTTTATTTGGCTTACACTTCCATATCAAAGTCTGCCATTGAAGGCAGTTAGGACAGGAACTCCAGATAGGACCCTGAAGACAGCTGATGCAGAGGACATGGAGGAATGCTACTTGCTAGCTTGCTCTTAGTGGCTTACTCAGCCTTCTTTCTTACAAAACTCAGAGCCATCATCCCAGGGATGGCCCCACCCACAATGGGCTGGGCCCTCTCCCATCAATCACTAATTAAGAAAATGCCTTACAGCTGGATCTTATGGAGGAATTTTCTCAATTGAGGTTCCCTCTTTTTAGATGACTCTAGCGTGTGTCAAGTTGACATAAAACCAGCCAGCACACACAGGAAGCAGCACTTGGTTGCCTAGACTAAGAATATTATATCTAAGTGTGGTGGAAAACCACTAAAGTGTTTGTGTGGTTGTACATGTATGTGCAATTGCACGTAAGTGTGAATATGTATGGAGGCCAGGATGAATTCAGTTATTACTCCTCAGGGGCCATACACCTTGATTTGGAGCAGAGTTTCTCACTGGTCTAGGCTGACTGGCCACTGAGGCCCAGGGATATGCCTGTCTCCACCTGCTCAGTGCTGGGATTACAAGCAAGTCCCTTCATACTCAGGGTTTTCTGTGTGTTCTGGGATTGCAGTCAGGTCTTCAGGTTTGCATGGCAAGTCCTTTACCCACTAAGCCTTCTCTCCAGCCCCATTAAATGTTTTAAGTAAAGAAAGAGTTGCTGAAAACCATTAGAGAGGGCAATAAGAAAACAGAGTCAAGTTAGAAGGGCGTTCCCACGCATATACATTTCACTGGGAGACGAGTGTAACTTTCCTCTAGTCCTGGAGCCACTTGATGCTCAAAACATAGGCAGCTTTTCATAATAATAATACAATTTGCATGTATTTGCATAAGCACTTGTTTCGTAGTGAGTTCCATGTTTACTGTGTCTGTTTACTTTTTCCCTTTGGTCATTACTTTTCAAACCAAAATAAGACAAATTACCGTAACTTAGTAAAGTATTTCTATTCCTATTCTTATTGACCTCAAGGTCATCTAAAACAGCTGATATTTATTACATATTTAATATTTTCTAAGTACTAAGCACTCTTACTTATATCATACATGCTTATTTTTTTTTCAAAATAGTCCAAGGCAGTAGTTATGATCATCAACATTTTAAAGCTTAGTGTAATTAAATTCAGGTAAGTTTAGTGTCTTGACCCAAGGTACTCAGCTCATAGTGGGGCCAGAGATGCCAACATGTACTATGGAAGCTTCCTCAGCTTTTGTCCTTATCTTATTCCCTGCTCTGTCTTTTAGCACAGCGTCTCAATGCTGTCTTCCACACCCGAGAATAGTGGCATGTTTGCATTCCGGCTCTAGCTCTTTCTAATCATTCAATTTCAAGGTGCATGTGACTCCTTAGAGGAACGTTTGTATTTGTAGACTTCTTAATTTTAATACCAGGGGCAGGGTCAAAGAATACGTGTTATCCTGTCTTCTAAACTATTGGGCAAATTAGGGGTTGTCTAGCCTCTTTCTGTTGTCTTAAACTCAGCAATTGCTGCTGCCTTTTGTTAGACCACAGAAGGTAAAGGGAAGCAGGAGGTGGAAGAAAAATAGAAATAACAGATTAGAAAATTCTTAGAAGGGAAGCATGAGTATTACATTTCTGAGTTCAAGGACACTCTAAGGATTAGCTTTAATGCTTACTTGACATTCTCTCTTTAATCCAACATTTAAACTTTCTTTCAAATTGTCTTCCCATGCTTGATCAGATGACATTAAACTCTTGACTCTAAGATCAGCACCCACTTAACTCTGCTGCTGGTTTGTGAGCAGAACTATATCTCGTCTGAAAGGAAGCCAGTGGTTCACTCCTGGGAGACTGTGAGCTGGGTTAGGATGACCCTGCTGGGAAACATGAACTATTTCATCATTTTTCTCTTGGATCCATTTTTGCATGCTGAAATACCAGAGAAATATTTGGGCCTGCAGAAACATGAGAAGAGATTCCATAGTCTCCATGCAGCCTAGGAACCAGAGGTTTTGTAATTTCAAATTACAGGACTGGAATCTTGTCTGTATGGATTCTCAGAGATTTTCTTGAGTCATATAATTTAGGGGTCTTTAGTGGGGTGACAGTTTCTCTGCCTACCTTATGAAATCCTTGTCTTTTTATAGAACTCACCAGACTGATTAAATAGTTACAGTTCTCTAATTTCCTGGGGTTTCAGGAGTGTTTGGCCCACACGATGTGTTTATGTTCAGCCTGTATGATTCAACAGACTTCCTTTGACCTCTGTTTCCATGCTACAGGGGAACCCTGGTATCTAAGGAGCATCTAGTTAGTAACATGAAATCGATAGCCTTATTAACATCTCAGAATTTCACTAGCCTCAACCTGACCAAATATTTTCTCAGAGCCCTTCTGCGTTTGACTCTGGTAGTTTCCCATGACTAATGAAACAAACTACCACAAATATGGGGGCCTCAAAATACCACACATTCTCCAACAGTTCTGAAGGTCAGAAGTCTAGAATGAGTCTCTCTGAGCTAAAATCAAGGAGTCAGTGGGGAAGCACTCTCTGAAGAGCCTTTGAGAGGCCCTAGGAAAAGGATTTCTTGCTTTTCTAATTCTGGTGATACATTCCCTGTGCCTGCTGGCTCATAGGCCATCTCTGATCATTTAGACTAGCATTGCAACATCTTCAAACCTCCATCTCTCCATCTTCACCTTGACCTCTTTCTGGTATCTGATCTCTCCACTTTCTACATAAGGATGCTTTTGGGGGTTTTTGAGGAATCACCCGAATAATCC